GTAACAAACTCACTTTCCCAGTACTAAAATCTATCTTAGTCACCTTCCTGGACACTGAGACATAATATCTAACACTCACAACTTAAGAATAGGTTTAATAGAAATTACTAAATCAGAAGTTTCATGCCTAACAGCGTGGTCTAAAGGGCTTAGGTCAAAGGAAAATTGTTCCATTCAAGAAGCTGAGTGAAGGGAGGATCCAGTGAGAGAGATCTACTGGATTGTGTCCTCACTGCCCTGTTCCTAACAAAGCCTCACATCCTAATAGCAAGTCAGTTGTGAACTTAACAGTGCATTCAGCCACTGATAAGTATAGCACTCTATTATCCAAACACCTTCTAAGCACATGAGAGTTTTTGGGAACACTGTACGCAGCACAATCAAAAAACACAAGGAAAAACAGATTCTGTTCTAGGCAACTACTTTTAAACAAAAGAGATAGAAACTTGAAAACCTGCATAAGGAACAGAAGAATGAAATGTAAATTAGACTTGTTCTATGAGGCCCAATGAATAGCACAAGGACTGTGGAGATGTGTGAGACAGCTTTAAGCACTAATGAGCTGCCAATTCTGCAAGACAGAGTATTGTGGGGTATGATAGGGCTGTTGTAGAATCACCTCATAATGAATAGCCTTTCAGGCATACTTTCGCCTTGAGATCCTGTGGCTGTAGGGAAAAGAAGCCATAGTTACTGACTTTGAAAAAAGTAAAAGCCCATGGTTGATATGTAAGGTGTCTGTCAAAGGTTTTCAAAAAGACTACAAACAGGATTGGAGTTAGGCAAGAAGGGAATAGTATTTCAATATGGGTAATGTGAGTGGTTTATTAAGGAGATTTCCAACCATGTGTGATGGCACACACCTAAGCTCAGGGTTGGATATGAGACAATTTAGAGACAAACAGTCTTAAAAATGAGAGGAAGGGAGCAACCCAGTGATAAGGTTCAGTGCTGGAAAAAGAAAAGCCTGTTTTTAACAGTGCAGGCAACCTAACAGGGTAACACAATGTCCTAGGGCCTAGGAATATGAGCAACAAAATGAGTGTCCTTTAATTCTTTACTTTCCCAAGCCTAAAGGCAAGAGAGGAGAGATAAATGACCAGAACTCAGAGGAAAGGAGGTAAACTGGTAAATGAGCCCACAGCAAAGGGAGGTGAGGAAGAGAGGGAAGGAGACAGAGACACAGACTGAGACACAGACAAAGCCAACAATGAGAAGTGAACTCCCAAATGGTGTTATGACCCAGTCCTTAATCCTTGGAGGCTACAGGTAGGCAGGAACTTGGAAAGTATCCAAAGGGGACAGAGGAAGACAGTATAGCAGAGATAGTAAATAAAGATATATACGACTAAGAAGGGCAGACAACGGAGGCCCTAAACTAGAAGAGAGATCAAGATACACTCTGTCAGTTCCCTTCCAAAGGATATTAATTTGCATTTTTACTAGTGGACAGTCTCAAGTCTATGCTTCTCACTATCAATTTCATCATTCTTCAGCTATCTTCTCTGCATTTATTCTTCGAAATGAGTATACTAAAGCAGTGTCTATTTTATGTAAAATGGTAGTTTTTTGTTACAGAACCCAGAAATCTGAACACAGAAATGTCTGGCTTATTTTAGCAATTATCTATCACATACTCTCGTGAGTTATTGCTTTTTTTCAAATGTGTTTCACTCTTTCCTGTCAGGCGCTGTGCTAGACATGAGGATACAACAATCAATATAACAAGTTCATCAATGTCTCATGGAACTTTCAGCTATCAATCATTTTAATATGTACAACTTCCTGTTCACTGTGGAATCTCAAGAGATGCTGAAATCAGAGGGTAAGCTATGACCTATAGGTAAAATCAGAATATCATACTTCTATAAAGCAGACTCTATTGAAAGAGCCTCCATTTATCTCTGCTTTTGCATTCGAACATCAGAGCTGAGTAGCTCTAATATAAATACTATGGCCTGCAAACCTAGAAATACTCTTTGGCACTGTATAGAAAATTTTGCCTAAAAAATAATGCTTTAAGGATGGTATATTATAAGACACAGATTGTCTTTTAGCATCCCTGATTGCCCCACTTACAACTATATCTCAGGAAAGATTGCATTTCTACTATTGTGTTGTTTGTTTCTATTTTCTTTCATTGTTAGAGCTGGTAACAAAAAGTGTCAGGAGGTTAGTAATATCTACTAATAGCTTATTCTCTTCAGATAATAACATTGTTTTATATTATACCTACTCTTGATTTATATGAAAGATCTACATCATAAAAGATCCATTTTTAACAAAAGATCTCTAAATCACACAAAACACATTTTGACAGAGGTGATTTTAGGCTATATTTTAAACTGAACAATAAAATTGATTGTAAAAGCACTTACTCAATACTTTAGTGCTACATAAATGCAAAAACCATAGCAGAGATAGTGCTTTAGGAGTGAATGCTTATTCCCCAGTCACTTGACCCTAAGAACATTAAAATTTTAAATGAAAGAAAAACAGAAAGGTCTGGCTTTCATTAGGTGTTACCAAAATTCCTATAAGAAGTGACAGAACCTGTGTTTGCTGTGGTTCCTCTAAAGGATGTCAAGTGGCTAAGTCTTTGGTCGCTACAGCTGACCATCAATTTGCTGTTCCCCAAATCCTTTTCCGTGCCTAATGGTAAACTAATGTAGCATGAATGAAATTAAATGCCCATTTAGTTCACATTTAGTTATTGTAATGCAACAAGCAACAAACGGACTTCAAAAAGATCCTTGCAAAGTCTTAGTTCCCAAGAGCTTTTCTTCCTTACTACCATACCCACGAGCAAAATACATTTGAAATGCTCAAGAAAGGGGAAATTGAGTCCAACAATGAACTGAGAACAAGGAATGAGCCCAATGATGGGGGGCAGGAGATGGGATCACCAGGCAATTGTGGCTAACTTGCTAAAAAAGAGAGATCACTTTTAAATATCAACTAGGTCTACTTTAATCTTTGAAAATGCCCTCAGGCCACATCAGCTCCTTCTTAACTAAGTACATTTAACATTTCACACTCTTCTTTCATATCAGCATCACAAGCGTCTAATTGGGTAATTCATTATTTATTTGATAAACATCCTCTAATAATTCCATTATAACTATCTGCTCAGAGGAGAAACTCATGTGGCTAACTAACATTGGTGATCATTATAAAAATACGAGGCAATAGATATAGCAAATAGGCAGATACAATTGATCCTATGCTCTCTGGTGGCACATTAAGCTATAGTTACTCTTCGAGGTGCATCTCAATATAACAACCAATATCATCCTATCCTTATAAATCATAAACAAAGTAGCAACACTTGCCTACCAAACCCTTGTATCTTGTTCACTAACCATCTCTTTTGTGCACTTTAAATGTCTTCCTCTGCCCTGACTTCTACATTTCCATATCCAGTGATGCTTAAATTGCTCCCAGTTTTAAGCAACAAAATAAAATAGGAAACAACTCTAAAATACCCCCACCTGATCTGTTCTTCCCAAGGTTTCAAGAAATATATTGCCAAGTCCCTATTCTAAGTCTCTCTGCAGCATCTCACTCTGGCAACCACCCCTCTAATCTTTGGATTATTCTTTACTATCTCCCTATCCTGTATCTAAAAGTGTAGCCAATTTTCCTTCAAACTATGAGCACTTCTTGTCTACAAACCTGTGCAGACTTCTAACTGACCTCTTAGCTCCCTCCAATCCATTTTTCATCATGCAGTCATAAACATGTTGACCTCCATAATACTGCAACATAAATTGGTTAATTCAACTGACTTAAATTGTAGTTCTGATCTTTACATTCAAGGATCTTCACATGGCAGAATTTTATGTATACATGACACAAAATCATGTAATTTCTATTAAAAAGCTAAAATATTCTTTCTGATTTTACAATATACACTGAACTTCTAATTTCAAAATACACGCTAAAACACAAGACAATATTGTACAAGCTTTAGCAAAGCCTCCAAAATACTGTTTTTGCAAAGCTAATTCCAAGCGCCAGAGTCCCAACTATTATTAATGAAAAAAAGAAAATAACTGAAATATCATCTGAATCATCTATTTGTGCATCTGAACTTCATTTCTAAATTTTGCATATGAATTAGGCGACTTGTGGTCCACGCCCTGCCTTGAAGATCATCCAAATTATGTTTCAAATTGCATTTAATCTAAAACATTTCTAAAGCAGTGTCTTCCCTAATAAAAACAAGTGAAATGGTGGATTGGACAGTCACTGGGTACAAATCTATGCCAAGTCACTGAGTCTCATTGTAGGCACATGATACACTGTAAATCTCCCAATTTTAAGTGGAAAATTAGCTGTACAAAGAAAGTAATCAATGTGTGTAATTAACATAGTACAAAGATTGCCTTGGAAAACTACATCCTGCTCATGCACTGAGTCTACTTCATTGTTTTGCTTTTTCATTATGTGCATTTTGTTAGTACTAAATTGCCCATTTTCTAAGGTTCCTGATGGAAGTCAAGTCCTAAATGTGCTTCAGGAATTCTTGATAATGATGCCTCTGAAAGCCTGGCTTACTTCAATCCTAGTTACTTTTCACGTTTTCTTGTTGTTGCTCTGGTCACTGTGCATCCATTACAGTTTCCCACATGTCTAGTTGTACGTATTACCCACCTGTCATCTCTTCTATGTCCCCCTTCCTTGACTTCCTTGTCAAATCTCTGGTCCTCAGGCCCTTAATCCCCTGTCCTGCCCTACACTCCGCTTTGGGTGAAGTCACCAGACCAAGCAACATCCTGTGTGTCCACCTGTGGGCCCTTGGCCTGGACGGCAATGGGTCTTAGGGAACAGACCTTGCTGCTCCCAGGCTCCCAGGGTTCCTCTGGAGCTCACTGACAGGGAGCCCCTAAAAGGGCCATTTGATCTGGATGGATCTTACAGACCCAAAGATGTGAATGGAGATTCAGGAAGTTGTGTCTCAGAGGCCACGGGTGCTCTGCCGGTTGCATATCACCTACCTAGGAAGCCACTCGCCAGTTGCTCTTCTGAGGATCCAGTGAGGTTGCAATCTTCTTAATCAGTGGAGTTAAGAAGCTGCAGGCGTGACGCAAGCTCAGGCCCCGGGCCAGGCAGGAGAAGCGCTCGGGGAGATGGAGTGAGAGCAGAAGCAGGCTGTGGGTAGAAAACAGAACTGGATGGAGGACGCCTCCAGGCGGTGGGCGGGCTGACTGACAGCGCCAGCGCATGCGCCTAGGCCTCTACGGCGCATGTGCAGGACTGGCGGGAAGCAAGCTCCGCCCACCCCGGCCCGTAGCCTGAGGAGACCGCTCCATGCCTAAAGTCCTTGCTAGTTTCCGGAACGCGCGGGAAACTCCTCTCCCGAGGGCATCAGGAACCGTCTCCACTGGAAGTGAGTCTTTCTGAAATCAGGCAGGTCCTGGTGACCTCTCAGGGAGAGGCACGCGGGGCCAGGCGGAAGCCACTCTTTTTTTAATCCAAGCTTGAAGTGTTTATTTCCTGTTAAAAATTTACTGTCATACGATGATTTTTCTCACTTTTCTACTGTCCACATTTATTTTCATCGACATTAGCAGTCGTGTTTCCCTCGGGAGACTATGGGATTCCTTTCCTGAATCTGAACACCCCACAGCGGGGATCTTGGGAACAGCTCTGAAAGCCACAGGCATTTGTGGCATCAAAGAGCAAGTGTTTCTGAATGAACAGCTCTGCATCTTATTTTACTAAGTAAATGAAACTTTATCAAGACATCTGTTTGTATCCAAACAGATGTAAATTTTTGAAAATATTAAACATCGTGGCTCCAGTCATCTGCCCACTAAAGACAGTCATTGATTTTAAAGCCTATTGTAATTTGTTTAATGTAGCAGTCTTCGTTAATTCTGCAGGGATGAATTTCAGGTAAGCCAAAATTAAATTATCTTGAACTTCAAATTAATGACCATTAAATGAATGGTTTACAGTATTTGCTGTTTTTGAGACATCTGAAATCGAATCATCATAGTTCATCCATCAAAGATACCGTAATTTCAAATCAAGCCTGGAGAAATATAGCAAATTTGCCTTATCTGTGAGGTTCATTTCAATTCCACTCATTCATTCATTAAACAAATTGGACTGAACACCTTTTTTTGTGGCAGAGGTGGTGGAGGCATGATTATTGCCCTCCAATATTGCACACTCTAATAATTAAAACATGATACATAGCTAGTGAGAGACAGTGTAATCACTGATATCCTATGAGAAAATTGCAAACATGGTTAAACAACAACAAAAAAACCCGCATCCTTTCTCTTCCACCTTTGCATAGGTTAGTCTGGGTAACAGTTTTCTTTGAACGTCTAAAAATGTAGTGGTCATGGACTTTTCTGAAGTATATCGTGAAAAAAATCAAGAAATTTGTACAGGTTTTTGAGCCCCCTCATCCTTTGTGAAATACACGGTAGGTAATTAATGCATGTTTGCTGAATACATGAATGAATTCTAGATATCTTAAAATATTTAATTTTGTGCTTTTTAGAAACTGCTTTTCTAATAATGTTCTACTCCAGCTACCATGTGGTGTGTGGCTGAATCAGTTCTGCAGTGATATTTATGGAAGGTTGAAAATGGGACTGGTATCTAAGGTCTTTCATCTCTTCTTGTTAATCATTACATTTAAATGCTAAATTTTAGCATTACATTTAATTTTAAATGTAATGTAATTGTAAATGTAATTTTAAATTTTAAATTACATTTAAATCTGAATGGGGCCTGAATATATATTCAGAATGAATATCTTAGATAATTATGCTTCTTTCTTGTAAAAGTTGTTTGCTTAAAAAAATTATAAAATAGACTGGGGATTTAGCTCAGTGGCGTAAACGCCTGCCTTGCAAGCAGGCAGTCGGAGTTCGATCCCCGATACGATACCGATAAAAAGGAAAAAGAAAAAAAAAAAAAAAAAAAAGAAAAGAAAAGAAAAACAAAGAAATATTCCTCTGGGGCTGGGGATTTAGCTCAATGGCATAAGCGCCTGCCTTGCAAGCAGGCAGTCGTGAGTTCGATCCCCGGTACCGATTAAAAGGAAAAAGACCAAAAAAAAAAAAAAAAAAAAAAAAAAAAAAAGAAGACAGTAGTGAAACAAAACAGAAATGAAATTTGATAATAGCATCTAAGATAACACAGGAGAAAACTGGCTCTTTGTTAAATTCATCACTTTAAATTCTGGGCAACCAGAGTAAGGTGGCATTTTAATCCTTAACTTGAAATTATACTACAAAGCTACTGTGATAAAATCAGCATGTATTGGCAAAATAAAGACCTGAGGACCAATGGAATAGATTAGAAGATGCAGACAGAACCAACAAATAGACTCAGCCATTCTAAAATCTTTGACAAAGAAGAAAAGAAGGAAGGGAAAAGGAAAAATATATGTATATATAGTTTCAGAATTGCTGAAAAGTCCCAAGTCCAAAGTTTCTGAGTTTAAAACAAATTCTTAGCTGTGAGCTGCAAAAGCAGTAGAAGAATTCCCTCTAAAGCAGTTCAGTTTCTTTGGGAGCACAAAGGATTGAACAAGCATTAGAATGTAGCTTCTGTTTCAATGGTGGTTACGAGTGAGTGCCATGGAGACATCAGATGGATACCACACTCAGGTGTGGAGGGAGAATCAGTGGCTTTTTCAGAAGAAGAAATATTAATGCCGAACTCTGGAAGACAAGTAAAATTAAATAAGGAGAATGAGTGGTGATTTAGAGAAGGAGTGCCTACCCCCAGATTTCAGCATCATGGGATCTGGTGGACCTAGTTGAACATCAAAAGGGATCCATTGGTAATTTTAATTGTTGACCTTTTGAAATGAAAACAAATTTAATCCACATTCCTCTGATGTTATCAAAATGCTGAGTTGTGCTGGTAGATTAATGATATCTGAATTTTCATTTTCCTTATCTACTATTCAGTTCCCAGCTGGAAATGTCATCTCTAATTATTTATTGTGAAAGGATTACTGGGCCCTTTTATGCTCATCAGAAATCACAGTATTCTTCCTTGTTCTAATACCTGTCCTAAGTTATCTCCCTAAGCTAAAAATCAGTAGCTATTGTTCACAAATAATGTTTCATTTTACAAGTTAACTGAGTGTCTGATACTGTAGTTTGAGATAACTAAAGCTCTTTGTCCTCAATGATTTCACTATTTGATTATCTTTTGGAAATGTTAGTCTTTTGAGGAGTGCTTTTTACACTAATGCCTCTTTCAGATAAACAAGTCTTGAAATCCCAGCTGGAGGTAAGTGTTTGCCTTGGTGGTAAGCTCATCAGAAGAATATTGTCTTCATCATTTTTGCTTTTGCTTTCCAATCTAACCTCAAGCAAATCCCTTCCTTTTGTATGTTTCTTGGCTTTTTAGGGGATGTTAATGAAACAGATTGCAGCAACAGTATGAAAACTTATTTGGATAAAGTAAAACTTCATTTATAAACTGTTTCTGTTTCACCACTTCATAGAGTTTTTGTGTATTAAGTGGAGCCCTTGAGATTTATGATGATCTTTACCAGGTTTGAGAAACATGATGTATCAGTTGGGCTGTGTTCCCTTCATACAACTTTACTTTAGAATCTCTGCAGATAAGAGAAGTAAAAATAGGAAAATATTAATTGAATCACTTAGGCCTGCATTTTAGAATTAAGGAGCAAGAATGTTCAGGAAACCATTTTTGTAACCAAACCCATGGAAATATTAATATTTGAAGTTGTGACTCCAGATAGTGATTCTTTCTTTTAAAGCATCTAATTTTCATTTGAAAGATTTTGAAGAAGAAAAACATAAGTTATTTTTCATATAAGGCTAAGAAAATCGCTAGGGACTTTTCCCAGTGTTTATTGAAGAGGCAGATAGAAGGAAGTTGCCATATTAATGACTCAGGGTTTTTGTTGTTGTTGTTTTCTTTTGTTTGGTTTTTAATTGAACTGATTCTTACCTACATTTTCTTACCTTTAGAACATGAGTGATTAGACAGAAATGCTTTCTGGAAATGGTAAAGCTGTTTTTGAAATCCAGCTCTAAGCTTGAGTCACATACATGTTCCATTCAGTTAACTATTCATTCTTCTACATGAGTTCTTTAGGTGTTACAAAGATCCTGTAACCTTGTACTAAACTGTGCAGCACTGAGGTTAAAACTGCAGATACTAGAATCAAATGCTTCCAGTCAAATGCTACTTTTGCTCCTCATTGCTTCTGTCCTTTTAGAAAAATTACTTAACAATTCTGTCTTAGTTTTCATATTTATAAGAATATAACTGTAATAGTGTTGTTGTGAATATAAGTAAGAGTATTCATTTAAAGCAGTAATAATTTGGCACATGGAAAATGACAAATATGTTAATAATTATTTAAAAAATAATACACATTCATTTCTTGATTATGTTCCAGGCTTCGAGCAGAATGACTGTAGTCTTGTTTCTTAGAGGCATCAGTAATGTGTTAATATATACCAGAGGTATGTATTTGACCAGAGGAGAAAGTGAATACCATCACTCTTGTTTTCAGATCATTTATGATTGTATATACAACTTTTTTCTGAGAAACACATTCAGTTATGATTTATGTTTCTATGTCTGTGGGCAAAAATTTATTTCAGAAGTTTCATCAGAGATATTGTCTCTAAATTTAGAACAGAACAATGAACAAGAAAAATAAGGTATAAATGTCCTATATTTCAAAAAGTATTACCATAACAACATTATTATAACTGAACAGAAAAGCTGGCACTCACATCTCAATACCATGTGCTCCAGATACTGGATCTAGAGCTACAGGACCTAATATTTGCTCTACTGGATTTCAATGTTGGTTTCATTTATTTTCTGTTCTTCTCTTCCTCCCATTTGGAATGTGAGTGTTTATTCTAGGCCACTTGTATTATATAATTTTTAAAAATTTTTGTGAAGGTTTATACTAAGAGTTTGCCTTGAGTCTCAGAAGAGATAATGGCTTGGAGTTTTGAAAAATGCAGACTTGTTGATAGTTTGAGGAAGGGATTTTTGTGTTTGGAGTTTTATGTAAGATAGTTTTATCATGTTATATGGAATTACTAGTGGATGGGGCTAAGATGTGATGATTAAATTGGGTTAAAAATTAGCTTGTGAACTGCTCACAGGATTAGTATAGCACACTTTTGAGTGTGACTGGGTGTGTCATGTAGGCATGACCTTCAGTACAGTATCTGGTGCCTGTGCCCTTT